TGGATCTCTGCTCCAGCCCCGCTCATTCTCAATATATTTTTGTTATGTGCCTGCTGATGGACTAGGGACATTTTTCTAAACATAGTGGCCAGTGGGTCCTATTTGAGGAAAAAAACAAGCCCAAACTCACTTCCATTGAGTTGATGACCACTCATCGCGACCTTATAGGACAGGGTAGAACTGCCCCCGTGGGTTCCCAAGGCTGTAACTCTACAGGAGTAGAAAGCCCTGTGTTTCTCTTGCCGAGCGGCTCACGATACTTTCCATAAGACACAGTGAATTCTACAAATGCCACAGGGAGTCCATTTAAGGATGCAGACACTAAGACCTTAAGTTGTTCCCACCTTTGTGCTGTTTCATCTCTCAAAACAGTGCAGTGATGAACATGGGTGTGCATGTCTCTGTGCTTGCCACAGCTCTTGTTTCTGTAGGATGTAGACTGAGGAGGGGGATTGCTGTGGATCGGGTGGCAGTTCTCGTGCTGGAAACACCAGCTCTTTGCCCACAGCCTCAACAGTGTATGAGGGCGCCAGTCCCTCCACACCCTCCGTAACGCTTTCCGTTGTTAATGTTTTGGTTCATGTTGGAATGAGATGACTCTTTAATGGCTAACAATGACCCCTAGAAGCATGGTGTTGGGCTGCTAACAGAAAGGTCAGGGGTTGAAAACCCCTACTGCTCCAAGAGAGGAAGATGAGTCTCTTTGCTTCAGCAAAGATTTACAGCCTAGGAAATCTTATGGGGCAGCTCTGCTCTGCCCCAGAATCACTCTGAGTGGGATAGAACTGGCTCCACGGCAGTGGGCTCGTGTTTGAGTCTTGGAATAGCTAATGATCCTGACCACTTCTAGGTTTGAACGTCTACCACGGAGAAGTGTCTGTTCATGCCCTCCACTCATATTGAAATTGGATTGTGTGTGTGTGATTGAGGTTTGGAAGTTTAATATACATTTTAGAAGCTAGACCCTTGTCCTGTACCTCACTGCCAAAAAATTGTGCCCAGTCTGTAGGTTCGCTTTGTACGCTTTGTGCTGAGGTGCACGCATATCTAGTTTTTAGGAGGTGCCAACCATCCAGTTGTTTGTGTGTTTTCTATTTTGTTTCCTATTTGGGCCTCTAATTTTGCCCTTATTTTTCCTTTGATAATCCTTATAGGTTTTATATTTAGGCCTTTGATGCATCTTGAGGTAGATTGGGTACATGGTGAGAGAGATGGGTCTTGTCTCATTTTCAACAACTAGATATTAAGTTTTGCCAGCCACAGGGATCCAGAGGACTTTTAATAAAACACATTGCTAGGTCACAGAAGTGTTTTCTAAGGCTGGGTTTTTGGAAATGAGGCATTTCTCTAAGGAGACTTGGTGGCATCCTAAGTGTTCAGCTGCGGTCTACTTCCTTAAAAGAGTTGCAGTCTTGGAAACCCACAGGGCAGTTCTCTATCCTACAGGGTCTCTGAGTCAGAACGGACTTGACGGCAGTGAGTTTTGAATTTTGAGGGGCATTTCTTCTGAGGTACCTCGGACTCATCGTGAACCTGCGACTTTTGGCTGGAGGTACACTTCCACCCAGAGGCACTGTGGAAGAAAGGCCTGGTGAGCCACTTTTCGAAAACCAGCCATGGAAAACCCCATGGAGCACAGCTCTCTCCTGACACACAGGGCTCTCTCAGTAAGTCAGGCCAGGCTTGTCAGTAACTAGTGAATTGCTGGTTAGTCCAACAAATGGATACTTAGCTCTTCTTTAGAATGCACGGTGTGGATGAGCCTTTTCATCTGGGCCTGGGTTCTGCCTTTGAAGAAAAGAAAGTCCACCTAAAATATGAACTGAACTCCCTTTTGTTTGGTTTTGGTTTTATTTTTAAGTTTCCCACCTCCCTCAGGCAAATTTCCCAAGTCCTCACTTGGTAGTACTTCTGTCTGGCGTGATTTCAAAGATCTTAGATCAGCACTTGACTCTTAAATCTTCCATGTCAAATAGGTGATGTTTTTCATCACTTGACAACCCTTGGTCGGTGCCCTCCTCCACCTAGCATGTAGCCAAGCAAAGGTCTTGGGAGATCACCTGCTCTCCCAGGTACCAGGATGTGGCAAGGGAAAATGACCCCAGAGAATGAAGAGAAGGACAATGAAATGCAGACGGGAGTGATGTCTACAGCTTGCCATATGCCGGAGTCAGAGGGTGGCGGAAAAGGCGGCACACATAGTACAGTCTCCTGCCTAATGAAATCCATGGAGCGTATTCAGTGACTTTGGTATGGTTTCAGTCAGAGCAGCATTGCCATTGCTGTATTTGGTAGAGAGAGTGCGTGCAGTGGCTGGTATTGTCAATGACAAAGGGAGAACAAGGGCTTCCTGCTGCTTAATCAGCAGAACCACAATGCGGGCAGAGTCTGCTTTATGCTTCCCGTAAGACTAACCCTCCTGTTGCATGCATTTGGCCCATTGCTGCTTCTCCTTGAAACCGTTTAATTTTTATTTGTTCTATAAGAAATTTAAGTTCGCTAACTCCTTTGATCGGAGGTCTAGTGGTGGGGTGGGGTATGTGCTGGGCGTGAAGCATTGAGCATTGAGTGTTGAGCTCCTCAAACCCCCAGCTGCTCCACTTCTCCATGAAGCTTTCTACTCCCACAAAGATTTGCAGACCGGGGAACCCCCAGGGACAATTCTGCCCTAACCTATTGGGTTGCTGTGAGTTGAATTCCAGTCAGTGGCAGTGAGTTTATATTTGGTTTTTGGAACTCCTTTGGATTTTTTCTGTTAGTGAAGAGAAATACATATTTTGCTTTGCGTTTTGTTTTTATTTTTTAGGAGAAAACTGATGTGGAGGGAACCCTGTTTGTGTACACGAGGTAAGAGAATTTTACTTTAATAAAGCAACAAACCTTTGAAATAATATTTTAGCTTACGTATGTCACTGTTCTTCAAATTTTAAATGGAAGAAAAGTAGAAGAACTGAATATGGGGCAGAAATGATTAATTGACTTAAGATAGGGAATGGTGTGTGATGTCACCTGGTGAATACCGTTTTTCAGAATATTCTCTAAACTTCACTGTAGATGAACTTCTAGGAGCCCAGGTGGTGTAGTGGTTGCGTGTTGGACTGCGATCCCCATCGGCAGTTCAAAACCACCAGCAGCTCCAAAGGAGAAAGACTGGGCTTTCTACTCCCGTGAACAGTTCCAGTCTTGGAAACCCACAAGAGGTCACTGTGAGTCAGCATTGACTCGATGGCAGTGAGAGTTTATAAATGAACTTAAATTATTTACTGTATCCTGTTTAATATAGTACTAAAAGATTTATCTTTTGATGATTCAAAAGAAAGGTAGAAGGGTCTTGCCTATAATTTATTGATAGAGACCTCGACTGAAGGTTATTAGATGACTTAATCTATATGTGGGAAAGCATTCTAATGACATGTGGAAAGGAAGAGCACACTCAGTAGATCTTAAACTGAAAGAACTCACGAAAAGATTCAAGCTTTGAGTTGCAATATTAACAAATTCTCTGGGAAAAATATTAAATGATGCAGGAAGCATCACACGAAGATGGAAAGAATATACAGTCATTGTGCCAAAAAGAACTAGTTGACGTTCTGCCCTTTCAAGAGGTAGCATATGAGCAAGAACCAATGGTGCTGAAGGAAGAAGTCCACGCTGCACTGAAAGCATTGGCCAAAAAACAAGTCTCCAGGAATTGATGGAATCCCAAGTGAAATGTTTCAACAAGCTGATGAAGCACTGGAAGCACTCTATGCCTGAAAATTTGGAAGACAGCTACTTGGCCAATTGACTGGATGCGACTGGTCACCATTCCAAAGAAAAGGTGACTCAACAAAATGATAAAATTATAGCGCAGTATCATTAATATGACATGCATGTAAGTTTGCTAATCATCATCCAACAATGGTTGCAGCAGTACATTGACAGGGAGCTGCCAGTGGTTCAGAACAGATTCAGAAGAGACGTGAAACAAGGGATATCATTGCTGGTGTCAGATGGATCTTGGCTCAAAGCAGAGAAAGATGCTTACTTGTGTTTTATTGACTAGGCTAAAGCATTCAACTGTGTGGACCATAGTAAACTGTGGATAACCTTGAGCAGAATGGGAATTCCAAAACACTTCATTGTGCTCATGTACAATGGATCAAGAGGAAGTTATGCGAACTGTTGTGTGAACCAAGGGCATAATGCGTGGTTTAAAATCAGAAAAGATGTGCATCAGGGTTGTATCCTTTCACTATACTTATTCAGAGAAGCTGGCTTATGTCGAGAAGAATGTGGCATCAGGGTTGGAGGAAGGTTTCTTAACAACCTGCAATATGCAGATACCCATTGCTTGCCAAAAGTGAGGAAGACTTGAAGCATTTGCTGATGGAGATCAAGAACTGCTGCCTGCAGTATGGATTACAGCTCAATGTAAATAAACAAAAAATTTACAACTGGATGAGGAAATAGCATCATACATAATAACTGGAGAAAAGATTGAAGTTGTCAAGGATTTTGCCTTGCTTTGATCCACAACCACGCTCTTGGAAGCAGCAGTCAGTTGATCAACCGACACATTGCATTAGGTAAATTTGGTGCACAAGACTTATTTAAAGTGTTCAAAATCAACAACGTTACCTTGAGGACTAAGATGCACCTGAGCCTAGTCATAGTATTTTCAGATGTCTCATTTGCATGTGAAAGTTGGACATTGAATAAGGAAGACCAAAGAGGAATGAATGCATTTGAATTATAATGATGGTGAAGAATATTGAAAGTACCATGAATTGGCAAAAAGAGCAACCAAATACGTCTTGGAAGAAGTACAGCCAGAGTGCTCCTTAGAGGCAAGGATGGTCAGACTTCCTCTGACATCTTTGGGCGTGTTGTCAGGAAAGACCAGTCCCTGGAGAAGGGTATCATGTTTGGTAAAGTCGAAGGCAGAGAAAATGAGGAAGACCTTCGAGGAGCTGGATTGACACAGGGGCTGCCTTGGTGGCTCAGCCATATGGACAGGTTTGAGGGTGGCACAGGGTCAGGCAGTATTTCATTCTGTGGTGCGTGGGGCTGCTGTGAGTCGGAATCAATTCACGGACAACATGACGACAGTATTTAGGGAGGGATTTTCCACCTCCTGACTTTTTAAAGAAGCTTGCTCCGGAATCGAAGATGTTTTTGAGCCCTCCGTGGTCGTGTGTTTAAGTATGCTCAAAGGGTTTCTCATTGGGTTTCTGAGTTTGAACTGAGTTGATGGCACTAACAACAACAAAGGACACCGAGAGGAACAGCGCGGGCTAGAAGGTGAACTATAGAGACGAGAAGAAGGGCGGAGGTGGGGAGGTGTGTGCAGGGGGAGGTCAGTAAGAAGGAAGGTCTGTGCAAGTGGAGGCTGTTGTGGGAGTCGAGGGAATGGAAGGGATAGGTGAGGGCGTCAACGTAGATAACAAGGAGCTCTAGTTTATTCGCCGACAGTCCCAGAAGAGCGGTGGGCGTGCCCCAGAATAATTGAGTAGGTTCTGTGTTCCAAACCATTCCAGATGCACCAGGGCATTCCACCAAGGGAGCTTAGCACAGACTCCTCAAGAATTTCGAGGTATAAAAAGAAAGCCAAGCACACGGGCCATAGTCTCATTCATTGCTCACAGTAAGTATTATTGTTATTTTAAGAAGGGAAATAAACGATGTACTTAGATGCATTCATGGTTTATTTTAGAGACTTTTGCATGTGTTTTGAGCTTCCAGAAAGTAACAAATGATATAGGTGTTTTCTCTCGTGTGTCCAAACCAAATGTAGGGTTACATTTGCAGGTACTTCTTCATAGACTCCAACCCCCCAGTAGAGCTGTCAATTAAATGGAGAAACAAATCCTCCGTATCTCTTAATCCCTTCCCCTAATCTAACTGCTCAAGAATAGGAGCCCTACCAAAAGCAACACCAAAGCGCAGCAGTCAAACATGTGGAGGCCTTTCCCTGGTGGCGCTGTCGCAGGAGCACCGGGCTGCCCACGGGTGAGCTGGTAGCTCCCAACCCACTTGCCACTCCCAAGGAGAAAAGTGCGACTGTCTGCTCCCACCAAGGCTTACCGTGTCAGAACCCTGTGGCGGCCCGCGGCGAGTGGAAATCAACTCGATGACAGCAGGCTTGGTTTGTGCTCGTCTGTTTGTTGTTTCTTCTAAGGGGGTTTGCAGTGCCGGCCACGGGGCTGGCCGGTGAGACACTGCCGACGTTGTTGTCTATTAGGTGCCCTAGAGTTGGTTCCAACCCATAGCCATCCTGTGCACACAGAGCGAAACACTGCCCTGCAATGATTATAGTTGAGGTCAGAGTTGCTTTAGATCAATTGGCACATTTACCGTATATACTCGAGTATAAGCCGAGCCGAATATCAGCCGAGGCACTTAATTTTACCACAAAAGCTGCATTAAAATGTACTGGGAAACTCGGCTTATACACCAGTATATACAGTATACCCTGGGCCTATTCAATGAATTTTGAGATGGTTTAGACCCTAGTAGTGCAAATGCTAACACGCTCAACTGCTAACCAAAAGGTTAGCGGTTTGAGTCCCCCACAGAGGCGCCTGGGTGGCAGGGTGTTGGTCAGCCCTTGCACATCCTCTGGAGGGATCAGCGTGAGTGCCCATTGACTCAATGGCAGCAGGTGTACCCAGACTTCTAAAAGGTGAAGTCCTGTGGTGATAATGAGCTACTTGGAGGGTCAAATCCTGACTCTTGTATAGAAACACCTAGTCCCATTTAAAAATGGTTTCTGTACTCCGTGTCCTCTCGTGTCTTCCTTTCTGTGCCAGCGTTCACAGAGACGCCCACTGGTGGTTTCTCAGCCCAGGACTCCTGAGGACCCTGCCTTTAGAGCTCTTCGGAAGTAAATCTCCACTCTCCCTTTGCATTTACCTGGAAATGATTATCATGATTATATCTGTTATTGATGACGTACCTCCTGCTACTAGGCTCCACCGTGCAATAAGCTCGGCGAGGATTGCGTTCAAATGGGAGGTTTCACAAGAAAATCTTCTAAGTGGTGGCAATTCAAGAAGCTGTATTTAACCTTCTATCAGCATCAAATTGTTAGAGGGGAAATAAAACAAAGATATAAACACCTTTTCTTCTTGTTCCTCGTGATAATCTTCCTGTGGGCTTGTTAACCATCGTGTAAAATAATTCTGCTTGTTGGGGTTTCCGTGTTGCCTCACTTGTCAGCAGCAGTTTCACAGTTGAATTGCTATATGGCTGTCACTCACTGGTAGACAAATGCACGTGTTGCTGTTAGAATTCATACTCTGTATAATTTGGGTTATTTCTGCCTGGCAGACAGTAGGCACTCAAGATTCATTGAATGAAATGGGGCAGAAAAGTCACTAAGTGCCACCTTTTTATAGAGAACAGCTTTTAGACTGGTTTATACATGAAGCTGTTTGTTTTACTTGGAAGGAAATAGAAGCTCTGGCCTTTGTAATAAGCTACAAAAACTTCCAATTATACTGTATTTTCCCCCCACAAGTTGATTGACCAGACTTGCATCATTTGTCTAAGAGATTTTACAGCTTGAAATCTCAGATTAACACTAAAATTTTCTCTGGATATTGTCTTTACATAAATGTCATCAACAATCAAGACTCTTTAAAGGTTTCTGTCAGTAATTTTAAAAGAAAGTAGATGCTTTCTCTGCCTTAAGGAATTTCCATCCCAGGGAGGGGAAGCAAGATATCCATCTATATCAGGAGCCCTGGTGGTATAGAGGGCTAACATTGGGCACCTAACTGCAAAGTTGGTGGTTCAAGCCCACCTGCTGCTCTGCAGGAGAATGATGAGGCAGCCTGCTCCCATAAAGATTTACAGTCTTAGAAATCCTATGGAGCAGTTCTACCCTGTCCTACAGGGTCGCTGAGTTGGAATTGACTCAGTAATCATGGATTCATCTCTCTCTCTCTCTGTCATACACACACACACAGAAATACTTAAATAAGGAGGATTGTCCAAAGGAATGGGAATGATAATCATACCATATTACAGATGAATTAGTAGATAGATGCTAATGGTCAACAATTGTTGCTTTATATGTGTACTCTCTTATTTATAAAAAGCCATTATACATGTAGAAAGGTTGGGAAACACCACAGAATGTAGTTATGCTCAAAGTACAGCATACTAAGTGACCTGTCTTTGATATCCCCTTCACCCTGGGTGATTTTTAGATCTGCTTCACCAAAGCATGGATTCACCATTATGAATCGGCTGAGCATGGAAAACAGGACCGAACCCATTACTAAAGACCTGGATTTCCAACTCCAAGACCCCTTCCTTCTCTACAGAAATGCCAGATGTGAGTCTTATGCCTTGGGTAGTTTTATGCCTGAAGTTTGGCCACATTTTAAATTGTACAGCATGTGCCTTTGTTGGGGCTTTCACATCAGTGACTCTTGGGGGTAGTGTGGGAACTGCATACTCCACCAAGGGAACAACCTCTCCTTTGGGAAAGTAGACATGAGAGCAATGTGAATGTGATGGTATAAGTATTTAAACCGTGTCTCTTGAAGTTCTACCATTTTGTATTGTGTATCCATCAGAGTTTTTAAGCCTGAACAGGATCGAGTGAGGTGAATTCCTGATTAGGGAACTGCCAAGAGACCTAGTTAGGTAGTGCCACAGAAAATAGAGTTACCAGTTCAGCTGGTGACACTTCTCCTCTGTATAGCTGTTCTAACCAAGAATCCTAACAAGGTGTTTGAGAGAAAGGGTCTATACTCATTTCATAATCCTTCATAAGGTTGAAATTACGTTTGGTAACTAAATGACCCTTCTCAGTTTGAAGTGGGGTAACAATCTCTTATCCAGTATTTTCTCCATTTTGCTCTTGTGTCTTACCTGACCCCTTGGGTTAGACTGTTGGGCAGTGCAAAGAAAAATTGATGAGAAATACATGAACTGTAAGAGCATTCTATACACTAAAAGCTTAGTAAACATATATGTGCATGTGTGTGCATGCATGTGCACTTGAGCCTTTTTGGCTCAAGGACCTCGCTGCAAAGAAGTGTTTTCTGTGCTTTTTCCAGCCTCCTCTTTGACCTCAAGGATTTGCCTGTGATGTACTAGTTAGTGTAATTCAAGTGGGTATTTTACTAATAATATTTAACCCCAATAATTTTTTGAAGTAACTATATGCTTTTTGTTTATGTTTATATAGCAGTAAGTTATAATAGATGGCCATCCTATTTAGATATTATAGTCGAATTCTTTTTTTTTTTCTTCAAAGTATTTAAATCATTTTATTGGGGGCTTGTACAACTCTCATCACAATCCATACATACATTCCTTGTGTCAAGCACATCTGTACATTTGTTGCCAGCATCATTTTCAAAACATTTTCTTTCTACTTGAGCCCTTGGTAACAGCTTCTCATTTCTTTTTTTTTTTTTTTAATTAGGGGCTCATATGACTCTTATCACAATCCATACATATAGTTGAATTCTTAAGAGAGGAAAAAATTTTAATTAATTAATTAAAGAGTGAGGAAGAAAATGAAACTATAAAATTGTAACATGACTTCATTCTGGGAAACAGCACGAAGTTAAAAGCTTTTGAGCACAGAGACCTCCTCTTTTTCCTGGTCCTGTTGTTTCACTCGGATGCGTACTCTGCCGATTGGGGCTTATATTTGTTTGAATGGTTTGTGTGCCTATTCCAGGTTTATTTTATTCCTCAAAATTGTTAGATTCTGTGTCACGTTAGCATATAATCCAAATCCTAATAAAATAGCTACTAAAATAAATGAGTATCAAACCTATAGCTGTCAAGTTGATTCTGACTCATGGCAAAAATTAGTGACCTATAATGATAATTTCTGGTTTCTCTTATTCCAGGTAAATATAGGTATGGTCCTATAGATGCTATTTTATTTTAAATTTCGTATTCATATCACAATTATATACCATGCCAACAATATTAAAATACACACTCACTTTAATGGGATTCCTTTGAGAAAACAATTTTCCTAGGCCCCACTTGGAAACACTATTTGATCTACTAAACATACACTGAGCCTCTCCTCAGTTTGGGGCTTGGCTGTCCATTGGAATTGAGCTGTGCTATCAGTCTAAAATATACCTTGATTTCAGTGACTTAGTATGAAAAACTGCAAACTATAGCATTAGTCATTTTACATTTGTTCACATGTTAAAATGATAATATCTTGGAAATATTGAGTTAAATAAGGTGTATATTGTTAAACTTGATTTCATCTGCTTCGTTTTTACTTTTTAAATGTAAAATTACATACAAGGCACACATATAATGTGGTTTATGTTGTATTTCTGTTGGACACTAGGCATTTTCATGTATTTTACCATATTTAATATTCACAGCTTTGTAGAGTCGATATTGCCACTGCCATTCTGCAGATGAGGAGACCGGTTCCGTGAGGGGACCGCCCTGTACACAACCCACAGATTCTGACTTCTATTCCATTGCTTTCCACACACAAACAATTAATGGAAGGCAATGGATTTGTTAACCTTTCTGGGTTCACCCCCAGCCCCACCCCCTCTTAATTACTGCTGGTATGCATTGTCTTTGTGGCCATAGTCATGTGATTTATTTGTACAAGTCTTTTCAATCCCTAGTATCAAATGTGTATACCAAGGTTTACCAGAGGTACTTCCAGAACTTCATATTCCTCTCAAATAAGAATTGATATAGTTCAACTATTTCTTATAATAATTGCATATAGTTTGCATAATCTTCAATGACCCACCAATTATTTCAACTTCCTTTGGACAAGGCACCCGGCTGCACTTATGACTGGCTTTTAAAGAAGACTTTAGCCCTTCAAAAGCTAGTCAAAAATCTCCTATACGGTCTGGCATTTTATTTTGGCCTATATGTATCATAGGTCATTTCTGGACATGTCATGTACACAGAGGTGGAGTTGACACAGGTTTGTGATGAATTCTTTCACAAAGTATTTTAGATTAACTAGGCAAAACTTTTAAAAAGCACTGTCTAAAGCAGCGATTCTCAACCTGTGGGTCACAACCCCTTTGGGGGTTGAACGACCCTTTCACAGGGGTCACCCGATTCATAACAATAGCAAAATGACAGTTTTGAAGTAGCAACGAAAATAATCTTATGGTTGGGGGCCCTGGGGTCACCACAATATGAGGAACTGTATTAAAGGGTTACAGCATTAGGAAGGTTGAGAAACACTGATCTAAAGTGATGCCTCTTCTTGATGAATGTCAAAGAACAAAATTAAAAAGTGAAAATCTCAAACTCTCTTCATTTAGTCAGAAAAAAAATCTTTGATAAACAATTAACTTTGCATTGTGAGCACCACATAGATATTTTATTATAGGAAAGTATTTATCGTCTTCAAATTGTGTGGAAATGGGAAATGGGATTCAGGAAATGACCTGAATAGCTTTAACTATCAGTAAGATGGTGTGAAAGTTGGAACCAAATGTTAATATAATCAGACATTAGCTGAGCAGCTACTGTCTTCTAGACACTGTGAGGAGCCCTGGTGATGTAGTGGTTCTGCGTTGGGCTGTGCAATCCAAAAAGTCAGCAGTTCAAACCTACCAGCCACTCCATGGGAGAAAGATGGGGCTTTCTACTCCTATAAAGAGTAGCAGTCTCAAAACCCCTCAGGGGAAGTTCTGCCCCATCTCTAGGGTCACTATGAGTCAGCGTCAACTTGATGGCCGTGAGTTTGGTTTTGGGGTTTGAGACACTATGTGAAGGATTTATACAGATTACTTTATATGATTCTCATAACTTTTTGTTTTTCCTGTTTCATAAATAAACAGAAGCAAAAGAAATTAAATAAATTTACCATAATCTGTAAGTATTTTGAGGTGGAAACAATGTTTGAACTGAGAAAACCTAACTTCAATGCCCAAGGCCCTTAGTCAAAGTATTAAAAAAGAAATAAAGAAACAAATATAGTTAAAATCCTTCATTGGTATTTGCAGGAACTGGAAAGACTGCTGTAGATCATGGAAAATGGTACACTGAGTGAAAATGAAAATTACAGGCAACCCCCAATTTCCAAAAGAGGTCATATTCTAAAAGTTTCTTTCTAAAGTGATTGGTTGGCAGACTTTTGGCTAAGCTCAGCAGAATGAGCGTGCTCATATCAGATTCTCTGAAACTTGGTTGATATGATAGTAAGGGAATTTTTTAAAAAGGATATAAACATATGGGTGGAGGATGCATTCCATGAAAAGTGTGGAATAAAACAAGAAAGAGGAAATAGGCAGTGATAGCTTTACTGTTGTTCACATTTACTGGTTTTGCCTCCTGCAGAAAAATTGGCTATTCCTGCTGTGCTGGCATCAGGCTTGACTGTAGGATTTGGGGTTCTTCCCCCAACTGTATCCCGCTGCAGAAGGATAGCGTGCACTTACTCTGCTGAAGTCAGGTTTGGCTGACTGACTAACTGACTTGGCTGTAGAATGTAGGTGGAAGTGGTATGTGTCGCTTCTGAGCACATCGTGCAAGGCTTAACTCATGAGTCAATGTGCTTTCTTGCCTTCTCGCATGATCACCTGAAATGTTCTCGACAGACTGCTTTGGACTGTCAGCCTAGGCTCTGTCATAAAGATGACTTGGGAGGTAAAAGTAGTGTACAAGAAACAAACCTTTGTCATTATAAACCCATGAAAACTTGGAGATCATTTATTACTACTGCATAATTTCACCTATTGTGACTAAGAAATATGCAAACAGTCTAGGAAAACAGAGGATCCAAGCAGAGGCTGGAAGTAAAGAGAATTCTGAGAACATCGGTAAGATGTTCAGCCTCTGTGCAACAAGACTTGGAGTCAGCAACGCTACACGGACGCAGAGGAATTAAAGGCTTCTGGAAGGGCAGCCAAGATAAAACTTACAAATAGTAGTTTAATGAGCTCTTTTAAATATGCTTGGTAGTTTAGGCCTATTGAGAAACTTACTGTTTGTTAAGAGCTTTGTGAAAATATATAACCATAGAACACTAACAGCTCAGAGAAAAAATAATGCCTGAAACAAAAAAGAGGCAATTCTTAATTCCTGGTAAGACAAAAGAGTGCATAAAAAGAGAACTGTGACTGTAGTACACTCTGGCTCCAGGGACCAAAATGTTTATCTAGTTGAGTTATAAACACTGAGTGTGAAGTAGGGTTATAACAATGTTGGAAGGAGGGGCTATAGTGTGTTTATGTGTCTGTTGTAAGAGAATTAAATCCTCAGCATATTAAAAACTCAAGAAATTGTGTAAACACAGTATATAGAAAAAATTTAAATACCAGAAGAAAAGTTAGATGTACTAAATGGGAGCAGTAATAG